AGCGCTTCGTAGGCAGGAGCCCCGGGCGGCGGTACCGCGGCTGCGGGCGGCTCCGCGGGCACAGCGAGGGGAAGGGGAGGTGAACCCGCGGCAGTCGGCCCCTCTGCCCTTCCCTTCCCACGGGAGATTCCTGTGAAAATCGCGCTCCCTCGTGCCCCGGTTATTTCTTTTTTGTTTTCGGTTTGTTCCGAGCCGTGCCGCGTTTCTTGCTCGCTGTGATTTGCTTGTTTATAGCTCCCTTCTCCCTCCTGCTTCTTTCTCTCTCTTTTTTTTTTTCTTTTCCCCCTGCCTGGTGGAGTCCTTGCAGCTCCTAATTGTCCTGCCTTACTGTGGAGCTCCAATGCTGGGGGTCCTGAGGCCAGCGAGAGCACCATCTGCGTTTTAATGAGTTACTTCATGTGCCAACAGTAATTTTCCTACATTCAGCTAGGTCCTGTCTGATCTTGCGACCGTAACAAGGGGGAGCGAGTTGGGGGCGGGAGGGGGTGGAGAAGGGGGGAATCGCAAACCCTTTCCCCACTTTCTGCGCTCGTTTTCTACCGCTGGGGGAGGAAAAAAAAAATAATATATGTATATCTACACACATCTCTAAGGCAGCAGTGTGGTTTTCTCCCTCTCGATCCGGCCTGAAAGCGATCTCATTAGCTTCAAGAGGGAAGGAAAGCAAGCGCAGGCGAAGAGGAGCGGCCGTCCCTCGGGCGCGGAGCTCAGCGCTTCGTAGGCAGGAGCCCCGGGCGGCGGTACCGCGGCTGCGGGCGGCTCCGCGGGCACAGCGAGGGGAAGGGGAGGTGAACCCGCGGCAGTCGGCCCCTCTGCCCTTCCCTTCCCACGGGAGATTCCTGTGAAAATCGCGCTCCCTCGTGCCCCGGTTATTTCTTTTTTGTTTTCGGTTTGTTCCGAGCCGTGCCGCGTTTCTTGCTCGCTGTGATTTGCTTGTTTATAGCTCCCTTCTCCCTCCTGCTTCTTTCTCTCTCTTTTTTTTTTTCTTTCTTTCTTTTTTTCTTTTTTTTTTTTTTTTTTTTTTTTTCCCCCTGCCTGGTGGAGTCCTTGCAGCTCCTAATTGTCCTGCCTTACTGTGGAGCTCCAATGCTGGGGGTCCTGAGGCCAGCGAGAGCACCATCTGCGTTTTAATGAGTTACTTCATGTGCCAACAGTAATTTTCCTACATTCAGCTAGGTCCTGTCTGATCTTGCGACCGTAACAAGGGGGAGCGAGTTGGGGTCATCATCAGCACAACTCCAGCTCGCCAATTAACTGGGCTAGGAGCCCACGGGGAGGTGGGCAGTAAAATAGCTACCACTTCAGAGGAACGGAAGCTCTCTTGAAGTTTTTTGGTGATGTGCCATTGGCTGGTCCGCTTCATTATGGGAGACTAGACAATATTTGATATGTTATGACATGAACACTCAATTAGATCACTGAGTTGAAATACTCCAATCAGTGGCTTGATGCTAAGCAACCCTCAGAAGGTCCAGCAGAAGGTCACAGCCTGTGACACATCAAATCAAAATCAATGGGGAAAAGTGAGGCTTTTCCTTAATCAAACCAGGACTTCTGTTAGAAAATCACTTCCCCCGGAGTAGAATCTCCCACGCACCGAGATGAGCTAAATTTGTGAAATTAACTGTCTTCCTTCTGGTTATCAAGAATAAGATGATCTGGAGCGCGGCTCTATTTCCCCGTGGCCGGCAGAATTAGCACCCCGTTTCCTCTCCGGGGGGGAAGGGGGGGGAAAGCGGGCCGGCCGCGTTTTTTGACCACATTTTTTCGAAACCACATTTCTGGAAAGCGAGTCCTTTTGCCCCCCAACCTCCCCCTTCTCAGGGCGAGGAAGGAAAACAAGCGCCATCAAGGAGAAGGCGGAAAGCAAAAAAAAACCAAAAAACAAACCCCCGTGTCGCCCTCTCGCCTCGGAAACTGGGGGCTCCCCACCGCGGGGGGCACCCACCCTGGGCGCTCCCACGCACCCACCCGAGCCCAGAGGGACGCGAAGGGGAGCGGGGCGGGGGGAAGGGTCCCCCCGAGCTCCCTCCGTGGGGGGAGGACCCCCCCCGCCCCGAGTCCCCGAGGCGGTGGGTGCCGGGGGGGGAGGAGAGAGTGGGTTTGGGGTCGGTTGGGTTTAGGGAACCAGCAGCTCCGGTAGCTCCGGTGGGGGGGACACGGGTGTTTTGCCCCTGAAAGGATTGGGAAGAGGGGGGGTCGGCG